AGGTTCAGGTATACACTTCAGAGAATGACCTCGGACAAGTCAAGGGCAAAATGCAACAGCGCCAAGGAGTTCCCTTCAGAAGAGCTTTTCCATAAAGCTCCCAGTAATCACTCTATCCCTGTCTCAGTGTTTAATACTGCAGGCTAAAGCCAAATGAGACAGAGGCAGGGACAAAGATGATTAGCACCATTGCAGCCCTGCTCAGTGGAAGGCACTTGCTCCAAAGTATAAATCCAAAGGATGCCACTCATTACACCGTGATAAAATAAATAACTGATACGGTCAAAACTAATTCTACTTTTAGGTTGTTATAAAATTTCTCCCTTAGAGCTTCCAATTTCCACATCTCATTACATGGAGAGAAAGCCATTTCATTTTTAAATATATTTATTACCATCCAGCTGAAACAGATATTATAAATCTGCAAAAGCTCATTAGGGTCTGAAGTATGTTTTGTTCGTTTTACCTTGTCTACTAGTAGTTTGCAGTAACTTTTACTTCAGATAATACAAAAAAGAATGAACAGATGAATTATGCATGATTATGTCAGTGTGTTGTGTTAGTCGTGGCAGTTACTCGGGTAGTAGTTCAAATATCCCCAGATAGGAGCTGCATTATGAAAGCCATGTTATTATATAAATGTATGAATAATTATAATCCTGTTAGAGGAAATACTCTGCCTGATGAGATCTTCTACGTTGTTGATAAATGTTTTCTCACAAAGTATTTCGATGCTGTGATTTTGCCCCCATTTAAAATGGTTTTCTTCCACCACTGGGGGAGGCAAAAAGCCAAAGGGATGTTCAGTAAATGAGCATCGAGCAAATGACATTAATTCTCTCACCTCGTAGCCTTTCCTCTTCTTCAGCCTCTTCTTGTTGAGTTTCTTACAGGCGTACAGTTTTCCCGTGGCTTTCATCTGACAGGCAGACACCTCTCCAAACCCACCTTTCCCCAGCACACGGAAATCGAGGAACCAGTCTTCATCCATGGGCTGCATCTCCAGCCATTTCCACTGCAGGAACCTCTTCAGGTACATGCTCTCCAGGAAGAAAGTGTAGGGGGCCTCGCGCAGATAGTCCAAAGTCTTGGCCAGCGCTGCAGAGAACAAATCATCACCTACAGTCTCGAGGGATTCTTTCACCTTCGTTATGATGTCCTCACTGAGGAACGGGCAGAAGTGTTTGGCAGAGGGGTCCATGTAACGCTGAACTAACTTCGAAGCTTTTTTTGCCCTTTCAGAGTCCTCTGCCAGGTCATAGTCCTCGATGTCTTTCCACAAGCGACATGCCCCGTGATACTCTTTGTTTGCGTCCAAGAATTCCCTAAAGAGACGTTTGCCAATTGGCTGTTCAACACAGACTGAGTCAAAGGATAAATCTAGGGTGTCCTTCAGACCCTCGCACACAGTGATGTGGGGCAATTTGAGGCGAGAGTGGTACTTTTTATCCCGAGCTGCTGCTGGATTAGAGCCATCGATGCTTCCACGAGCATTGATGTAAGCAGAATTTGCTACCACGGTTGTGAGTCCTCCGATATCCATGTTGAGGGTAAGCGACTGTTAAGCAATGCAAAAAGAAGACATCGCAAAGAGAGAAAGGCGGTGAACGGTAAATGCTGCCAACTAACGCGCAGGGGTGAGGAAGAAAAAGAGGACAGGCTGAAGCAAGACTGAGAGAACAGGAGACGGATCACAGCGGAGTGGCAGAGGGAGCATGAGAGACAAACGGGAACTGGAGACTGGTGACTGAACTAGATCCCAGCACACTTTGAGCACTGTACCACCCTCACACACACACACACACACACACACACACCTGAGTCAACACCTTTCAGTAATCCATTAACACCCCAATGCCCCAGACAAAGTGTGCGAGCACATGCTGGAACAGAACAACACAAGCAGCATATATGCAGGATATCACCAGTCAACTGGCAAACCAGTTAGCAGTTCATACAGCCTATAAGCAGCACTCTGCTTCACATTAAAGCTTCAGTTTGAATGAGGAATAATATTTGAGATAACCCAAAAGGCCTACCAAATGCTGAAATGCACTGGGATGTTTTTAACAGCCAATAGGGTTTGGCAGCATAGGGAAAAATATTAAAAGTTTCAAAATATTGCATTTAAAATGGAAAATATGGCTAAATACTAAATGTAAGGCCAAGAGAAGTCTTTGAGATCACTCCATTAGCCACGAGTCAGCAAAGAAACACTGTTTAAAGCAGGCCCTACATAAGGATGATCCTCAGAAGTGTCTTATTTAACTTTGAATGGCGATATATCTAGTTCAGGTTGCAAGAACAGTGTGTTCAGTCCCCCAGGTTCCATTATGGATGGAAGGAATTTGCTTTTTCTTGTTGTCTGCAATTTATGAGATCCTACCCAGACTGTACCCGTCTAATCCTTTCATTTTGTCATAAATCAAGCAGGTAAAGGCAACACGTTCAAGTATAGCACTTTTGGAAGCTGCTGCTGGAAACGGCAGCTTTCAAATTCTATATGATCAAATGAGCCCTCAATGCAAATTAAACAGGCCACTCTTTGACAGCAAAAAACCCCCCAAAAACACCACACAACACGCTCTTGTGAATGTTTTTTGTAAACAGAATAAAAATAGAGGGTGATGATCACAGGATCCTTTCCATGGTAAAGACAAACACCACCTATCCTGTCAAAGGAATGGTCCCTGTCTTCCATAAAGAGCCCATGAAAGAACATACAGACTTGACCAAAACCATCTACAACAAGAACATCAAAGTAGCGCCTAATCTGGCTCACAATCCATTATGAATATGATCATGAGAACAGGTTAAAGACCCACTGGGTGACAGCTGTGCACAAGTAAAAAAATAACTAGCACTGTAGGAGAAGTAGTGATTCTTGTGAACTGTGGATGGACAACGGACCCAAATCATACTGAGGAACAGCACTGTTGGACAGTTACAACAGCAGCCTGTAACAGAATGATGGGAGGGAGAAACAAAACAAAACAGGATGGACGAGGCGTGGGACAGAATATGAATCGAAGCATACTACATAATCCAAACACAACGGAGGCAGTGTAACGTATGGACATGCATGCTTCCACTGGAACTGGTTTCACGACTGTTTATTGATGATGTGACAAAACACAGAAGCAGCAAGATGAATTCTGAATCGTACAGAGCTTTACTGTCTTCAGCCAAACGCAGCAAAGCTTAAAACAGTGAATTAAACGTTAATGCAAGAGCAACCCAAATGTGTTTGGACAAAGGTAAAGTGGAAAGTTATGCAATGACAATGCCAAACCAACCAAATTAGGTAGAAAAACCCACGAACAAACAATCGAAGGAGGTTGGGCAAGACATCAAAAATGGCAAAATTCATTCTTTGTAATATCCATAGTTTTATGGATTTCAGTCATTCGTAATTTTTCTTTATTGGAAGTTGTCTAATTTCATTGGGGCCCATGTATAAAATTGGTGTAATTTTACAGTTTAATTAAATTTAAGCAAACTCCCTCCAACCACATCTGTGTGTTATTTTGTATTTTTTAATGGTGGATTCCAGAGCCAAAATGAGATAAACTGTTAGTCTTCCAGCATTTCTGAATTAAAAGAACTCAGCTCTAAACAAGTCACAGGATCCGGTTTATCAGTGAATTAACAGATGCTAAAATAAATGCTTCCCCCCCCCAATATTCCAGTATCTGCAGTGTATCCACAGTTTTTGGCCAAATCTAATTAAAAACTGCTGACAGAAAGCAAACTAGCATAATGTAAGAACCAATCACAATGCAGCAGCATAATCAGTGTCAGGCATCCAAGCAGTGTATCCCTTGTGGTTTTCTTTTGACAAGCAGTCAACTTCTTTAAAAACCGAGCTAGTTTCCTTCCCCAGTTCTTTTAATAGACAGGGTTGAGACAACGACCCAGCTAGACGTTTCTAGCACCTTCTGCTCACCTCTCATATTACTATTTAAGCAAACTTTGTTTCCAACCCAACAGACAGTCGACCTTACCCCAACCCCAGAAAACTCATGAATTGTGGATACAAACTTATTAAAACAATCTATATTTAATTTGCAAACTTATATTAGATTACAGAAAAGGGTATTTGGAAGAGTCAGTACACGTGTTGCTCAGTTTTAAAAGGGAGATCTTTGAAGGGTGTACATAAAGACCTATACAACCACACATTGTTACATCAATAATTTTTGTAGGTCTATCTTTACCACTGGCCTCTAAAGGAAACTATAAGCTACAATTGTTGTAGGATTCATATATGTAATTAACAAAGAAAGCTTATTTACCTAGGAGCCTGGGTTATGAAAGTCTTTACCTCGCTGCTGCCATTATTTTGTAAACACTACCAAGGCATTAACAGGGCGGTGATGGAGAATTCCTCAACTCTGGAATACAAATAAAACTAGCAAAGAAGATCAGGAAAGCAGCTGCCTACGGAACAGAAGGAAGCCAGCCCAAAAACAATCGGGAAACCATTTCAAATTGCTCAGAACACAAAAACAAAACAAACAAAGCATGACGAGATGTGATGGAGCCCCATCCTGTGATGCAGTGGCATCTGTGTTAAGCCATTCCGAATCCATGGTGTTGCACTAACAACACATCTCACAGCAGACACTTTGGCCACCTTGGAACATTTTGATCATGTCTGCCATATGCAACTGCAGAAAAAAAAAATTATAAGTCAAACGGGTACATTATACATTCTCCAACAGCAGTAGGCCTTAGAGTTGCTTTTTAGTGGGATGGCTTATTAAGAAGTGGATTAGACATAAAGACTTCAGGTGGCAGGGACAAAGACTACAGTTCCCTTGGACGACACCTCCCACTGAGCTGTGGTGCAGGTGACTCAGGAGCAGAAAAAGGTGGGTGCAA